TAAAAAAAATTTTTTAATCAAGAAATCAATTTCAATTTGATAAGAATGCATGATTAAAACGTTTCAAGTTGAAAAAAAATTTTTTATATTATTTTCATTCAAAGGGGTGGTTTTTAAAGGTTTTTCCGGGTTGAAAATTTGGGATACTTTACGTTTCATGTTAGATAGCACATGAAATTACTCATACTGCATAAATAAAAAAGATTTGATTACATAAAACGCTTAAATTTATATTTTTTCTTTTTTTCCAATAAGGGCTGGTTTTCACCCCTTAAGAACAAAAGGCACACCTAGCGCATATATAAGTTTTGAAGTGGGGGGTAAGATGAGCCTAATTCTAAATTTTGAGAAAAATCTATGCAGTTATAAAAAATTCGGAGGTATTACTATATTTTCAGCTACCATAACTGGGCTACAAGTATACCTAATTGTAAGTTGAATATCCTATAATATGGCAACATTGCATCGTCGTGTTTACTACGGTCCCAGCTGTGCGGTGTTTAAAATTTCTTCTAGTTTGAGAATAATTTTGTCGAATTTTATCTGCATTGTGTGCCGATCATAATTCACGTTATTTGAAATTGAAATAAATATAAAAAAGTCAATACCTGAGCAGGGATTGAACCCACTACCTCTCGCATGAAATGCCAACGCTCAACGCTTTGCACCACTAGACCACGTTATTTAATCGTTCAAGTCAAGGCTTATATAGGTAGCTATATTTTGAAATACCTATTTGTAATTAAATATGTATTATATTTATAACAAATTATGAGTTATGAGATGAGTCTTAGATTTAAAACTACGTATTTGACAAGTTTGACAAATTAATTGCCTTTGGCATACTCTGACATGTCAAAGCCAACCACGATTAAATCTGTGTTTCAATTAAATAAAATTTCTCAAATTAAATGATACCTTCCTCTTTAAACGGGTTTATCTAAAAAAATATCTATTTTATGGATATTCAACAAGTATACCTTTTTTACGTAAAATACCATAAATTTTTATAAAATGATGGAAAATTTGGGGTATAGTGGAACAAAAATTTTTTTTCTAGAAATTTTGGTGGGGGGTGCTTTGCCCCCGGGCCCCCATAATTATTATCGAGGATTTCATATTATCATCCAAAGCAGCTTCAATAATTATAGATCCAGTCAAAATTTATTGAAAAATACAAAAGTTACAGCAAAAAAAACCATTTTTAATTCTCAACTTCAAGAGCTAATAACTCTACAGGGTGAGCCCGGAGGAAAAATTTTTATATGGTTTTGTGACATTATTTTCTCATTATCTATCCATATCCGAGAGATTGCCCACCATTTCCGGGACACCCTGTATATACCTCGAATAGTTCGACCGTAGTAGAGGAGCTGTTAAGTTGTTAATGAATGGACTACTCACCAACATGAAGCGCCGATATTGCGGCGTCCGAGGGTTTCCTGCACGAGCTGGGCGGGGGGATGGGGTCGTCCAGGAGGTCGCACATCCTCAGGTCGGTGGCGTGCTCCACCAGCAGGTCGACGGTGTCGCCGGTGCGGTCCATGATGGCGCACACCTCCTCGAAGGAGCGGTCGATGAGGGACACGCCGCCCCACTCCAGCACCTTGTCGCCCTGCTGCAGGCCGCCCTTCTCGGCAGGCCCGCACGGCACCGTCCACACGATGTAGGCGAAGAGCCGGCCGTCGGGGGCCGTCTTGCCGCCAACCACGCGCATCCCGAAACCGCGGGCTGGAAAGGTCAACGGCAACGTCAGAGGTGATACAGAATATATAGTGTGATAAAAAACAAGTGTCCTATAAAAAAAATATCTGACAAAAGTCATGGGATATCAATATGCTGGTGACCTTGGATTTGATCATAGTTTGACCTTTGCAGACTAATATTTATACATTAAACATTTTGATGTTAGGCAGCTGTTAAAATTTAAACACCTTGTACTTCTACTGTGTCCCATCGCGTCTCAACGCGATAATTAAGAGATATAAACTTTTGTTTTAATAGGAATTGCGAAAATTGTTCAAAGGTAAATATAATTTCTTCCTCTTTGCATAAAAAAGGAATTCATTATATCGTCTGAGGGAATACGCCGAAGAAATCTCTGGAAACTCGAATAATTCCCTTTATACTTTCCTTACACAAACTGTATAAATAAAATATCTGACCAGAAAAGTCGCTGGGGTATCCACAAAGCCTCCCATTTATAAATTCGGAATGTATTTTTGCATAATACACTTTGATATTTTTACGTCATTATATCCGCATCGGAAAATAAATAAATTCCATTTAAAACATGTCAGTCGCCCGCAGAGGCTTTGAGAAACTCAATAACTTCTGTCGGAGACGATATATCTCCTCCATCTTTCATCTTTTAGTGGCAAAGTTCTCTAGTTTGTAAACATGATAAATTTTACCAGACTTTTGAAGTAATTTTTGGTAAAGACCGTTTATGTAATGGCCCAGACGGCAAAGGGGACGGATCAGATCACGCTAGCTCCTTCCAAATTGTTGAATTTCTTAAACAATCTCGCATTAATTAATTCTGATTATTTGCTTTCAATTGACACATATAATTTCGTATTACTTGATTGTAACAATCGGAGGTAGTCATAAGTTTAGGAATAATAAGATATCTTAATGGATCCACCCTATATCATTTGAGCACGCCGTTCTATGAGAATTCCAGGGATATGACATTCCAACGCATTCTTTATGAAAACCCTGATCTACTTACTAAGAACGCTATAACTTCGAAGGCTCCTTCTATATTCATCGTCATGAATGAATTTTCGACTTCGTATTTCTTGAGAATTCACATCGTTCGGAATAAAATGAAAGCGATTAATTGACGACTTGAATTGAAGGATATGTATTAAAATATATTAGTCCTTATTATAACTCGTTAACAAAAAATCATTATGAAATGCGCAATTCATAGTTTTGTAGGAAATTAACTGCTCTACAAAAATGGTCTCTTATGATTAGTGGATTAAATAAAGCGTGTAAAAGATATTCATCGTCAAACTTCAATGAACGCCAATTTTAACAGTTTTTGATTAATAATTCGGAAAATTTCAATTTAGTTTATGAGTTTCAGGGAAATTTGTACAAATTTGAGTTTCTATAACAGAGAAATGTTTTAAACTATTTTTCTAGTTTTTTTTAATCGTAAGCATGTTTGGTTACATCGAAAAAGAATTAGTGCATCATTTCTGACTGAGAGTCAATGATTCATTCAATCTTGAAAAAATTACGTTTTTGTACGAAATTTATTATGAAAAGTATTAATCATAAAAAAAAAAAATTAAATTTGTTATTAAAAGGTTTTTTTATTTAATTATCAAGTGAGTTATAAAATTTCAAACATTTTAGTTTTGTGCTGATTTAATTTTTTTGAAATTTTGTTATAATTTTAACCATTGAGTATGATAGCGAAGAATTTTTTTGACTGCATTAGGAGCTCCACTAGTTGGAATCTGATTTTTTTCCACAGTTCAATAACTTGGTCAACTGAATTTTTAGCACTTTGTTTGAATGAACACTTTAAAACTTTCAGTTGATAGAATAACACACTCATAACCTCTTTCACTGTTGGTAACTTACGTTCCAAAATTTTTTGCATAGGTATACCGATCAAACGAATTTCCATATCCATTATGGGTTAATTAATAAATAAATTTATGTAGTGATTATAAGACTTATTTGTAATAAACTATCTTATCACGTATACGAGATCATGAGTTTTAGAATCACTGAAAATGTGGTACGAAACGTATAGATACTAAAGATTAGTTGAGAATAAAAAACATAGATGGCGTTAGTTTCACAAGATAAACAGAAGAACTAATNACTCACAGTACAGTACCACACCACAGAATATATAAAAGACGGACGCGTGACTATGACCTATGACTATACTACAGAATAGAGCATAGATTCATGCGCCACTGGGTACGCCCATCAGAATAATACTATTATACAACTATCGCTATGTGCCAAAAGATGGAGCGAGGCGGCGAGTTCCGGAGAATTTAAAAAGCGGTATATTAAGGGGTAAAAACTGGAGAACGGTAGATGACACATTGAAACGGTAGATCTACCGCTTTAGCGGTAGATCTGGTAACACTGCTGAAAATGTGGTACGAAACGTATAGATACTAAAGATTAGTTGAGAATAAAAAACATAGATGGCGTTAGTTTCACAAGATAAACAGAAGAACTAATGAAGTTCAAAACAAAAATCCCCTAGAACGAAAAATTTTATGTGTATTTTGTGGGAAAAAATTTTGAAATACGTTCTGAACACACGCTTTCAAAAAAAAATAACAGCACGATCGGGATTTTAAATTATTAGAGATAAAATTTATAAAAATATTATCAGAATAAAAGTTTCAAATAAATTTTCGAACAAAGAACTTCTCTATAATGGTTTCTTTTACGATAGAAACTCAAATTTGTATAAATTGTCTTATACAATGGTATAACTCACATAATAAAAGTGTAGATCCCTAGATCTGGGCGAGGTCCGGAACATTTTCAAAATTGCAAAAATGTTTAAAAAATATCTATTTTATCTGAGTTTTTAACTTATATCTTCGAACCTATGCATTTTGGAAGAATATTGAAGAGAAAAAAAAGTAGTTCTAGAATTGAACACAATATACTGTATGTTAAAAATGTTTCAATTTATTACCGATGTTGCAAAATAGCAATAATTTATAAAAAAAGGCAAAATCAAGTTTTTTAAATATTTTAGTTGCTCCGAGGGCATTCTAATTTTGGTAAAAAAAACTTTAGAATATAATAAAACAACACATATAATTTCATTAAAATCGGTTCGATAGTTTTCGCAAAATAATTTTTTTAACAAATTTTGAAAAAAAATAAAAATTTTTAAATTCAAATCGGTTGATTAGGACGGCCGCAGTAAATTTTTAAAGTTAACACTCTTTTTTTAATTTTTAACCAAGTAGATTACATATATCATTCTGCAATTTAATTTTTTTCAAAAATTATAATTTTAAAGTACCCGGGAAGATGCTTATTTTTTTTTAAAAAAAAGTTAAATTCCGTTTATTGGTTCTCGAGATATAAGCGGTCAAAGTTTATCAGCATTTACCGTAAAATTTATAAACAATTTAGCAATAATCATTGATCCAGTGACTTAACTTTTTCGAGTTCTAAGCTGGAAAAAATTTTCATATCCGTATGTTATCGGCAACATAGATAAATCAGCGGAAAAGCTGTCGCTCGCACGCGCAAAAGGTGGCTCAAAACACGTCGGCTTCTAATGGACCAATTTCGATCTTTTCTTTTGAATCCGATATCTCGCGAGCCAAGGAATTCGAATATCGTAATGCCAACTGTCTAATTTGCACATATTTTTTTATAAATTAAAATTAAATATACTGTATATTTTATCATATGCTATTGCAATTTTTCAATTAAAAAATTTGTTTACGCATATATTTCAAAACTCTGAATATGAATATATTTAGTTATAATTATTACAATTATTTAAATAATTTCTGTTTAAACAAAGTAAAAAAAATTTGCAAATTAATTTTTTTGTTAAATATACATAAAATTAAGAAAAAATAGTAGTAGTAGGTTAAAAAGAAGCGTCTTTCCGAGTACTTTAAAATTATAAATTTTGAAAAAAACTAAATTGCAAATTGATAAATGTAATCTAAAAATAAAAAAAGAGTGTTAAGAGTGTCCTAATCAACCGATTTCATTTTTTAAAAGACCATTTAAAATGTTGAGCGGTCTTTCCTATGTGAAAAAATTTTCAAGTATCTATATGCTTTATTTTTAGGCTGCGCAAGATTTTGAAAATTCAAAAAATTTTTTTTCAAAATTCTTTTCAAAATATTATTATGCGAAAACTATAGAACTGGTTTAACCGGTTTTAATGAAATTTGGTGTGTTGTTTTATTATACTCTAAAGTTTTTTTTACCAAAATTAGAATGTCCTCGGAGCAATTTTTAAAAATTATCCAAAGAAACTTGATTATTTAGCCTTTTCTTCATTAATTATTACAACATTTTACAGTATATTGTGCAAAATTTAATTCTAAAACTTTTTTCCTCTCCAATATTCTTCCAAAATGGATAGGTTCCAAGGTATAAGTAAAAAACTCAGATAAAATAGGTATTTTTTTTAATTTTTTAAACATTTTTGCAATTTTGAAAATGTTCCGGACCTCGCCCAGATTTAGGGATCTACACTTTTATTATCCTGCAAAAATTAGCTTGCCCCCTCTTACATCCATGAAGTGGGCTATTTCGACAGATCCGCCATGGTCTATTTATAAATTTGAGAGTAGTAAAAAGTTACTTACAAAGTTCGATATCTCGAAAACGGTTAAGTTTAGGTACATGAGGTGTTATATGAATTTTGTTTAAAAAAGAAATGAAATACGGAATAATATACATTAAAGAAAAAGGAATATGTTTCGTCATGACTTTTTGACTGATTCTTTATTGAAAGATTTTTAAAAACCGTAAAATGTTTGTGTCTTATGATTTTTCGATAGCTAAGTAGGTATCTGACTTTAGGATTTCAAAGAAAATCAAAATGACAAATTAACATTCGAACAATTTTCTAAAAAAAATACTATTACCAAATAATCGGAGGTGCCCCGGAAAAGATAACAAGCATTATCAAAACATCAAATAAGTGGAAAAGCGTGGCTTTTTCCCACGACGAAAGCAACGAATGCCAAAGTACCATTAGACAAATTAAAATTGACCCCCAACCGTTGCCCATTCAAGGAATTTATTGGCATCCGAATATTTTTTGCTGCCCTTTCCAAATCCTAATCCCACTAATGGCGATTTGTAGGCTTTTACGCGACGGTTTTGCTCGACGTACCCGAAATTCGCCAAACGACCAACCGCACCGAGTCCGATTAAACAAACTGCGGACCTATAATAAACCAGTAATTAACCTGTTGAAGTTGACAGCAAATATGATGCAGAACCTTTATTACTACAAAAGGTGCTCGGCATGACCTGTTGAATAAAATATCGGCCACTCAGTCTCCGCCACCCCTCGGTTTACCATCTTAATATTAATGATTTATAGGACCTACGAGGGGTTCGAAATTGAATTCTATACCAATGGACTATTTATTTCCGAAATTCCTTTTTTTTTTAACTAAATAAATAGGTAGTCGAGTTACAGTTTAATTCGCGGCAAAACAAATTACTGATACAAGTTGTGTGTCGCACAAGAGTACGATCTTCATTATTACACCTTCTTACGCCTCCCAGACCTTCTCTTGGTTTAGCAAATCCGATCCTCTCGAAGCGGGTAGAGATTAAAATGATGGCAGAACTCGTTTCCGTGGGCGCAGATATCGGCGTGTAGCAAATTTCCTCTATGGCACTATAATTTCATTGGATTAATTCCCGCTTAATGAAAGTTTAAATTTTACCGGAACTTAGCTACTACCAGTTCATTTAGGGTTGGGGTTTACTAAATTAGGTCGACTGTGCAGGGAACCCCAAACTCGATAATATGGGCCTACTAGTATGAGGATTAGGGTGGGTAAAAAAAAATCGACAATTTTTTTTTACTTTATACTCTGAAAAATAGGTTGCTAGACACCTCTAGAAAATTCTCTCCAAATATGAGCTCTTAATCTTAATAGGAAGGTCCTCCGCTTTACAGTTTTCCATTTTTTCCTCAGTATTAGAAAAAAAAATATCTCTCTATCAACTGTTAGTTAAAAATATCTCTCCTCATATACTTGTAGGAAATTGAACGCTCTACAAAAAAGGTCTCTTACATTTTTTTCGTAGACCTCACCGTTTAAAAGATATTAAAGGTTGAAGTTTGATTATTTTAAGACAAATTTCTGTTTTGCTTATGAATTTTATAACTCGTTAACAAAAAATCATTATGAAATGCGCAATTCATGGTGTTGTAGGAAATTAACTGCTCTACAAAAATGGTCTCTTATGATTAGTCGATTAAATAAAGCGTTTAAAAGATATTCATCGTCAAATTTCAATGCACGCCAATTTTAACAGTTTTTGATTAATAATTCGGAAAATTTCAATTTCAATAAAAAACTTTCTTTTCGTTTTTTAAAAGTGTCTTACTTATTGTTAGAGATGGACCCAACAAACTCCATATGGCTATGCTCTACAGGGAACGTTCTATCCAAATATGTAAAAATATACACGGTGTTCCATTTAACTTAACAAAGTTACATCCGCGACCATTTTGTTTGGACTTCATCTGTTTTTCTACTCATTTTCGAAAAATTCATAAAAAATCGTGCAACTTTTATATTTAACATTTATTTATAGCTCTTAAAACAAAAAAGTTAAAGGGGGGGGTCAAAATATAGTGAATCACCCTGTACATTAAAATTATAATTTTTGAAAAAAACTAAATTGCAAATTGATAAATGTAATCTAATTGTTTAAAAATTTAAAAAAACAGTGTTAACTTTAAAAATTTACTGTGACCGTCCTAATCAACCGATTTCAATTTTTCAAAAACCAGCTGAAAGGTTGAATGGTCTTTTTTGTGTGAAAAAATTTTCAAGTATCTAGATGCTTTATTTGAGGCTGTGCAAGATTATGAAATTTCGATAAATTTTTTCAAAATTATTTACAAAAAATTATTTTGCGAAAACTATCCAAGCGATTTTAATGAAAATTGGTGAATTGTTTTATTATACTCTATAAAGTTTTTTTAATCAAAATTAGAACGCCCTCGCAGCAATTAAACTACTGTATTTTAAAAAGAATATCCAAAAAACCTGATTATTTTGCCTTTTTTTTTATCAATTAATGCTATTTTGCAACACCGGTAATAAATTTAAACATTTTTAACTTACAGAATAATGTGCAAAATTCAATTTTGAAACTTTTTTTCATCTTCAATATTCTTCCAAAATGCATAGGTTCCAAGATATAAGGAAAAAATTCATTGGCATTTTTAAAAATTTTTTGCAAATTTTTGCAATTTTGAAAATATTCCGGACCCCGCCCAGTTCTAGGGATCTACACTTTTATTATGTGAATTGTACTGAAGATATTCCACCAAAAATTAGCTTGCACCCCCTTACATCCAAGAAGTGGAATATTTCGACAGATCCGTCCTGGTCTATTATTATTTTGAAAAAAACTAACTCATTTCTATCCTATCGTAACGAAATCGGAACAAACATCTGCATCCGAGTTCCGTCCATCCCCCGTCTAAGGCAGAGGCAAACAGGCCGCTCTACCGCTTTGTCTTACAAGACAAAGTTCATCTGCCAACTCGAGCGAAACACTAAATGAATTATCTATTAGCGGTGAGGCCTTTTCAACCTGTTTAATTAATATGCAGACAATGCCGACTCACTTCTGTGCGCTTTGTCGGACGGGTCCCTTCTGAGTACGACGCGTTTCTGTGCCGCTACAGCGGACCCTGAGTCTACGTCGTGGATGACGATCCGTATGGCTTCCGCGTCGACCGACGCCTGGCGTCTCGGTGCGGCCTCCAGGTCCTCCAGGGCGGGCGTAGGTCTCGGCGTCGCCATCGTGCGGATCCCCGCCAGGTCCGGCCTGCAAAAGGACAAGGCACATTATCCAGGCGTTTTATAATACAACAATAGCGAATGTCGCTAAATAAGACACGTCGCAGCTTTTGAGAATGATTTCAAGTTGACGCTTTTCGCGACCTTTGTTCTAAAAAGTCATTCCGTAAAAAAATTGCTATAGTGTTTGTGCGATAACGCGAAGTTATCCGTCACACCGGGAACCGAATAAAATACAAACCAAAAAACAAAACTTCTAGTTGAATTGTGCAACTTTTATAACAGTCATTTTTTACAAAACTTATAATGGAAGCGACAGGGGTGGGTAGGGTATACCAGTACACAAAATAAGACATCAAGCTCCGCAGAAACTGGAAACTATGTACCATAATTAGCTTATTAGTTACTGTAGCTGAAAATATAGTAATACCTCCGAATTTTTTTAACTGCATAGATTTTTCTAAAAATTTAGAATTAGGCTCATCTTACCCCCCACTTCAAAACTTACATATGCGCTAGGCGTGCTTTTTGTTCTTCAGGGGTGAAAACCACCCCTTATTGTAAAAAAAGAAAAAATACAAATTTAAGCATTTTATGTAATCAAATCTTTTTTATTTATACAGTCTGAGTAATTTAATGTGCTATCTAACATGTACCCCAAATTTTCAACCCGGAAAAACCTTTAAAAACCACCCCCTTTGGATGAAAATAATATAAAAAAATTTTTCAACTTGAAGGGTTTTAATCATGCATTTTTATCAAATTAAAATTGATTTGTCGATTAAAAAATCTTTTTTATGGAATGCAACTTTTCAACCCTTGTAAAATACCTCTTCTTTCGAAAATAAAATGAAAAATTATTATTGAAAAGTAGAAACATTTTAAATGTGCAATATGAATGCACATTTAAAATGCATGAAATTATTCCATTGTGTGCATAACAGCAACCATTTATATTTAGAAATTACACAATGTACTGTTTGGTAAGTTAATACTGTTATACAAGGTGTCTTAAAATAGTTGAACAAATAATAAGTTTTAATTCTGGCAGGCATTGCGTCTACTGCGGACTCTTCAGGCAACGTGCTGTCCCGAATTTCTTGCAATTTCGAAACAGTAGCAAAAATTGTATCACCTTCTTTTTTAGATTCATTATCTATTTATTCAATATATAGTTAATTTGTTTACATAATGTTATAATTTTTATACTATAACATATTATGTAATTACAAATTAAGTAATTCAAAATATACCTACCTATATAAGCCATGACTTGAACGTTTATAAACTGTGGTCTAGTGGTGCAGAGCGTTGCGCGTTAGCCTTTCATGCGAGAGGTAGTGGGTTCGATCCCTGATACAGGTATGACTTTTTTAATATTTATTTCAATTTCAAATAACGTGAATTATAATCGGCACACAATGCAGATATAAAATTCGACAAAGCTATTCTCAAATTAGAAGAAATTTTAAACACCGCACCGCTAGGACTGTGGTAAACACGACGCTGCAATGTTGCCACATAGGATGTTCAACAAAAAGAAAAAATACAAATTTAAGCATTTTATGAAATCAAATCTTTCTTATTTATGCAGTATGAGTAATTTCATGTGCTATCTAACATGTACCCCAAATTTTCAACCCGGAAAAACCTTTAAAAACCACCCCTTTGCATGAAAATGATATAAAAAATTTTTTTCAACTTGAAAGGGTTTAATCATGCATTTTTATCAAATTAAAATTGATTTGTCTAATTTAAAAATCTTTTATATCGATTGCAACTTTTCAAACAAAAAATATTATTGAAGGAGTAGAAACATTTTAAATGTGCATTCGTATTAAATAACCATTTATTCCTTTCTTATAAAATAATTTTTATTTGATTGCAAGTTTTCAACCCTTAAAAATTACCCCTTACAATTATTTATATATATTTTTCTATAATTATCACCTATACAGTGTTTATTTTTTTGATGATAACTTTTTAAGATTTTTAATCGCACAAATGTTAATTTTGCAGGGAATTGTAAGGGCTACGTGAACTGTTGAGTTGATATTTTTTAAGCCCTTCATTTGTAAGTTTGAAGGGTTTAAAGGGCTCGAAAAGGGTGGTTCTCTCATTCATATGATAACTTAAAATGGCGATATCTCGATTAATATTAATTTTAGAGGAATAATAAAAAAAGCAAAATCTTCAGCAAAAATAAAGCTAAATTTTTTTACCCTTGTATTTTTTTCGTGCACTCTTTAATTTTTAAGTTACAGTGTAAAAATCGATCTTTTTTTCAAAAATTGGAAAAATTAACATTTTCAAAAATTAAGTTATTTTTCAAAATCATGCTTCGTAGGTGAGCCAAAGACCCAGAACATATTCTTAGAACATACATGAAGAAATCTGTAAATGGATTGCATTTAATTTTACTTCTGTCGCAAAGGCACTGATTTGTTTATTATTTTTTTCTTAAAAAATGAGACTCATGTTATTTCGATCATATTTCCGTTAATTTTGATTCTAACGACTTTTAAAACAGCTCAAAAAGGTTTTTCAAAGTACTTTAAAAAAGGTGCAAATAGTTTATTTCCTAATATTTATGGTTTTGGCGTTATTTAACATTAACTGGTTCCAATTTAGTTTTTAGGTAAAATATAATAATGTTTCAAAATCCATAACTCGGTTTATATTGCAATTAGAGAAAAACAGAATATGCCATTAGATTTGTTTTTTATTGCCTTTCTATTTGTTCATTACAACTTTTTCGTTAAATCCAATGGTTTCAGAGTTATTTGCAAAAAACTGTCCGAAAACAAGCACTTCAGTAAAAAATAAAAATTTTCAATGATGAATTACTCGGAAAGTATTGGATTATCCAAACAACTTTATATAACATTTGTTACTTAAAATTGACTCCACTATCGATTCCTGTTTGTTATTTTGGGCGTAAAAATTTCCACCCTCAGGAAGGGGTGGGAACCACCCCCAGGGCAAAAGCACATTTCGGCACTATATAAGTTTTGTTCCTTGAGACATTCCCCACATTCGTTCAAAATTTCACGTCAATCGGTTCAGTTATAAAGAATTCGGAGGTAAAAACCCTGAGTAACTGGACTAAATTACAAATTAGTTATTTCAAAATATGTAGTATACAGGATGTCTCATAATTAGTGTCCAATAATTTACCACTTGATTCTATTGCTAAAAATAATATTTCTTCATATAACATGAGTCGAGAAACCCTTCCTAAGTGAGCTACGCCCCCCTGAATGGGGCCTCAAAAAATTATTTTTTTTTTAATATTTCCGAAATGTCTTTTTTTTTAATAAAAAATGTACATTTTCAATCATCAATAACTCAGAAAATATTGAGTTATCGAAAAATGTTCATAAGAGATTTTTTGCTTAAAATTGATTACTTTATCGATGTCTGGGGTTATTTTCAATATTTTATTTTTCACCCCCCAATTTTTGTTTCTACTTACAATCCAAGTTTTACGTCAATCGGTTCTATCCGAAAAAATTCGGAGGGGTTCCCTGGATTAAAAATCTCGCATTAACATTAACTTTTGCTGCTGCTAGCGTGTTTATTACATGAACTATCAATGTAAAACTTTTTGGAAATAAAAGTTTAACACTTTAAAACCCCGGCCCGATATGTCCAATAGTTATTTAACAATTGACATTATAAAAAAAGTTATCTTGGGAGCAAAGAGGCGTAGGTGATCTCTCTCTCTTTTTTTAATTACCGTAAAAATAAGCTCTATTTAATGCAAAAAGAGCGAATTCCCGAGCGGCTTTTGTCTGACCTATCGGACAATTTATTTATAAAGCTGATTACCATTTTCGGTTTACTTTTTTTTATCTTATCGTACCTACATATTTTCCTTATAATGCATTTTATTAACTGTAAAAAGATTCTGCCTCGTTCTAACTGTACAAACATTGTACCCCATCGTTACCACAGGATGCCAAGAATTATTAATAACTCCCAGATGCCTTTGGAATTTATACTCCAATCGGAGAACTATATTAGTTAGATACAAGTTTGTGGAATACGGGACTTAGTTTGGAATTATTGTGCTCCTATTAATCTGGTAATAAGTGACTTAATAATTCCGAGGATATTAGTTTGATCGCGTTGTTCGTTTTCGGGATTGGCTTTCTACCTCAGTGTGTTACATCCTTCAGATCTGCTTTCTCTTAAAGGAAAAGTGAGTTCTGAACACACTACCACATAGTTTTGTCCTGCATTCAAAGTAAATACTGTCCTTGTCGTATTTCAAGCATTTTGGTCAAAAGAAACAAATGTTCATAATAGTCCAATTAAATAAGCCTTTAAATCGAAATTTTGGTCAACTTGCCTGAATTTTTGATATGAGTTAGTTTGAGGTATATTATAACAATAAGTGACAGTAATTTTTTGTTCAACCCGCGGTGAAAAAAGATAACACAAAGGAGTTTTTCAAGATAACTCAAAAGGGGCAAAGGCTAGAAAAAAATATTTCTTATTAATATATTTCTTAATCTAAAAAATCCATTGTACCAGTTTTTGTCATTAAATCGTCATGTAACGAGCGTTCAAATAAAAATGTGGTCGAAGTTGGCTCTGACACATTGGACGTAGGGAGTAGCTTATAGCGACCAACTTAACCTCATTTCTCAACGAGCTGTATAGCAACTGTCAGTTTCAATAACGTTAATGACTATATAACTTTATTTTAAAGAATAATCGTGATAACAATAACAAACAATTAAAGGAGCTGCGGAAAGTGTCCCCCTCCTTGTTCCAAGCACTTTTCACACCTGTTCCTCAAAGAATTAAAGACATTTTCTAAGATGCTCCGGGTATTGTTAATTTCACGAATCTTGTCTATAAGTCGAGCCTGCAGATGGTTTAAATCAGGAATAGGCAGTTCAAAAATAGTGTTTTTAAGGTAAGGCCACAAAAAGAAATCACACGGCGTAATATCACATGACCTCGGTGGAAATTCATGTTCAGCATTGAGACTTATTAGTCGATTTTGGAAAACTTCCC